CTTGTTTGAAAGGCTTTATAAGATAGATGCATAACCAAACACTGACTAAGTTAGGATTGCAAAACTTACTCTTGCACAAAAGTGACTAAGATGGAGTCTATAATTGGCCACAAAATAGACTATAATGGGGTTTATGGGGTAGGGGTTTGGACAGGCAAGCGACATATATCTGGCAGAAACGTTCAAGCCACTCGGTGGCTTTAATCATCTCATTAGTACCATTATCATGATAATCATCATCAACGACAGTACATGCATTATTAAAATCAAAAATCATCACCATAATCAATATCAGCATCATATACTATATCATCATTACCAACACCATCAATTGAACCTGTGGCGACTTAATATTGTAAACTTCTGGTGTGTACAAAGTACAAACATTCATCGATACAATCTTCATCGAGCTTTGCTTTCCTATGGCGCAAAATATTTTCGTAAGCAAGGGAAAACACACGGAGAAGAGTTGTCTAATTAAATGACAGCCATGATTGCAATAAAACCACTTGACGCACAGTTTAAAAAACGTTAGTTTATTTGTTCAATAACGCTCAAGTTTTGTGTTGCTTTGACTAAGAGCATTAAATTGAGCTAACATTAAATAGAAGTAGAGTTTTATTACATTTCAAGACTCTCATTTAACATTAATTTCTTTTGCCCAGAACTTTCTAAATTAAACACCGGGCCAAAGTGGAAGCTTTATAAAGGCGACTTGGGCATTAATGCGTCGTGCAGTTAACCCTTTAAGCCCCAATGTCCACATATAAATTCTCCATACTGATCGTCATACATTTCTTTAAAGAATTAGCTGAGGGAGTTTGATAACAGATCAAAGCATTTTCTCTTTAGTGACCATTTTAGCGGAGCTCTCGCGCGCGAAGCGCGCAGCGGAGCACCATGGGTAAAGAAATGTGGTAAACTACCCATCCGAGAAAATTTGGTAATCACATGACCGTACACCGACCGCCCGCCCGACCGTCCGTCCGAAAAAAAATGTTTGAGATGTGAAATGGAGTAACAAAAACCACATATTTTGGTCTAATAAAGGGTCATGGTTTCAAAAAGCATACTTCACACCCTCATCAGAATTTTCTAGGAGTATCCACCCAGGAGTACAAGGATAACAGTCTTGCAAAGGTATGACTTCTTATAAATCAATAAAATATAGGAGACTCACGGATATGACTCTATATCCAAGGCTGGACAGGGTAAGAACTTGTTTGAAAAACACATCTGCTGTGCCGCTGGCTGGAGGTAAACAAATAAGTGGACAGCGTACACCACGAGGTCCGGCATCATATATCAACCATTCCTTGTCATCGGAACTGTCAACCACAATCTGCAATATGCATAATCAATGAAAAAATGGCAACATGTTTATCTTGTGAACTCAACCAGCAGAGATTGAAAATCTCACAGTGGAAATTTTCATGACGCTAGCAAAAAACATATTGACTTGCTAGCCAGTCAGGCTAGTAAGTCTCTATAAGGCCTATCTTTGACATTGGCTTTTAGAATAATTCTACAAATAATTTTACAAATAATACAAATACAAATAATTCTACAAATGATTTTACAATAATTTTACAAACATGCATGTAGCTCTATAAAATAATTATTATTTTATAGAGCTACATGCACGTTCATAAAAATTCCTTTACAGTGAATTGAATTTAAGCTAAGGACATAAATGTTTGTGATCTTAAACAATAAAGCAAGCAAAATACCCAGGTAAAAATATTTCCACCAGGAATCTTCTCTGGTATGGGGAAAGCTATAAGCAGATTTGAACATTAATGGACTTGGAATATGTGAAGTCATACGTGAATGATGAATTAGTTTTGTTGCTGTTGTTATAAGCCTTTAATTTTTGGCTTTGGATAAACAAAAAGAGACAATGATGGTACTAAAAGTCAGCAAACAGTGCATTCTGTGCTAGGACTTCCCAGCTCTATGGTGATGCACTATTGACAACAGCTAAGTCTGCTTCAGCGTAGTCCTGGATAGGATTTTTGTTGTCAGTGACTGACATTTTGACAACCTGTGCAGTATAGTTGTCTTCAGAGTCAAAGTGAATTGTATCAGGTCAGTTGATGGTATCAAAGTCTGGTTATTGACATCACTGGTTAATAAGTTGCAATGATATTGGCTGTTAGGTCATGATGTTATTGCTTATGAAGACTTGAAATATCGTAGGTCAGTTTTGCTTGAGTCCATTTCTTATTGTTGTTGTCTTTGTTTTGTTTCACCACTAGTACTTTCTCATGGGTCTGCAAGTGTCGTTAACTGATATTTTACTATTATACTGAGCAATCAAGCGCTTGAAACACAGTACAAGGTAAGATTAATAATAATAATAATTAAGTAATGATTTACTGAAAGCACTTTCACTAGCTGGCTCAACTAATTAATAATGACAATTACATTACAGTGGCCTTTCCGCAATAATAACATAGCAATAGCACACATTCAGATTAAACACTTACTTGATATTTTAAATCATACTGATAACAGCAAACAGACAATGACATAAAGTGATTATTATTTTGTTTTCGATTGATGGGCTGTTCTTGCGCGCACAAACAAGCTTCCACGCGCCTAGTGTGATGACTTCCGCAAGAAATGAAGAAATCAGTTTTACTAAAAGCCTCGTTATTAGCCAAAAAAACGAAATACAGGCTTTATAAACCTACCCTTCTTAAAGGAACAGTGCTCCGAAAGCTTAAGTATTCCTGGGATCTTGAGATTGCGCTGGATGTCGCGGACGCCATGTTTGTTTCATTGAAGTCAAGATGCAATGTCGAGTGAGATGAATCGATGAGTTAATTGACAATCTTTTTTACTCAAATAGCTTCACTAGGCCAAACTCGCCTAAACTTACTCTAAGTTAAGAAATCTTCCATCAATGTGTACAAAAGTGCCATCACGTTCCTTTGGAAAATATGATAGTTTCTCTTGGGTCCAGTCTTTCCTCTCTTGCCTCAATAGCTCGGTGCAGAATAAAAGAGGACTGGATGTGAAATATAACGTTGCCGCAGGAGGCAAAGCAGATACGTGCTAGCTTCAATTACCTGAAATCAGGGGAACGGTTGGGACCAGCCGGAAAAAATAAATCTTATTGCGAACCCACGAGGTGCTTATCTCCCCACCCCCGCCGAGGGAGTACTTCTAATGGCTAATGGGGTTGTACTGCTGTCGCTGCTGAATGGGATGGCATATGATGCCTCGATGGGGTCGCATTTTAACGACTGGATTGACCATAATGGGGCTGCATTTTCAATAGAGTTACTAGAATGGGGCTACACATTTTCGGAATTTTGGGGCCGTCTGCAGAAAATTATGTTCTACGGACTGCTTCGTTGATGACACTAAACTGCTTATTTCATTCCAAGTGCAGGACTGTGAACCGACTATGGCTGCGATGAACGATGATCTTATTAAACTACGTAATTGGTGTTTTAATAATAGGCTACTCCTGAACCCAGACAAGACTAAACTGATTTTATATGGAAGTCGGCAAATGATATCGAAACTTCAGGATTTTCGCCTTACCCTCCGGAGTAAAGAACTATTACCCGTCGACTCTGTTAAGTACCTGGGTGTAGTGTTTGATAGTAAACTCTCATTCAACGACCACATAATTAAAACAGCATCATCTTGTATGTCTGCCCTAGGGCAAATTAGCCGAGTTAAACATATATTTAGAAAAGACATACTTGTTACAATAATTAATTCTCTCGTGTTTAGTAAGTTGTATTAACTGCTCGTCCGTCTGGTCGAACACTTCTGCCAGCAATATACGCAAACTACAAGGAGTACAGAATTTCGCTGCTCGCATAGTTACTGGGACAAGGAAGTTTGATCACGTATCTCCAGCCCTGAAAGACCTGAGATGGATACCAGTTAAGTCCCACCTGTATCTAAGAGACGCCATCTTGGCCTTTAAATCTATGACAGGTCAGGTACCAAACTACCTCAGTTCAAATTTTATCTCCAGAGGGAATATCAGTGGTCGGACGACCAGATCATCTTCCCAGCTTAATATACCGCTTTTTAAAACCAAGTCGGGACAGAGATCTTTTTATTACAGAACTGTAACATTGTGGAATGCGTTAAAACCCCATTTTAAATTAAGTGAATCCCTTATCATTTTTAAACGTAAAATGAAAGCCTTCCTTTTAAAACAATTTTTAATGTCATAAATTTATATGTAAATAGTTTCTTAATAGTTTATTGATAATCAATTTGTGATACTTTTTTTCCTTTTTTTTTTTGTTTACCTGTACTGTTAATACTTGTCTCTGAAAAGCCCCAAGGGGAAGTTGACAATAAAATTTGTATTGTATTGTATTGTATGGTACTGTAGGGATTTATAAATAGGAAGTTTGTTAGTACATTAATTTTCAACAAATGTGTCAATTCATTTCAGGATGACTTAGTTGAAAGGCTTTATAAGGTAGATGCATAACCAAAAACTGACAAAGTTAGGATTGCAAAAATTACGTTTGCTCAAAAGTGACTAAGATGGAGTCTTTTAATTGGCCACAAAATAGACTATAATGGGGTTTATGGGGTAGGGGGTTTGGACAGGCAAGCGACATATACCTAGCAAAAACGTTCAAGTGACTTGGTTTAATCAAGTGCTTTAATGATCTCATTAGTACCATCATCATGATAATCATCATTAGCCTGCATGACAGCCGCTTTATCAACAACATCATCAACAACAGCACATGCATTATAAAAATCAAAAATCATCACCATAATCAATATCAGCACCATATATCATCATCATGACCACCACGATGAATCGAAGCTGGGCCGACTTAATAAACTTCTGGCGTGTACAAAGTACAAACATTCATCAATACGATCTTGATCCAGCTTTTCTCTCCTATGGGGCAACATATTTTCGTAAACAAGGGAAAACACATGGAGAAGAGTGGTCTAATTAAATGACAGCCATGACTGCAATAAAACCACTCGAAGCAGAGTTTGAAAAACGTTAGTTTATTTGTTCAACGATGCTCAAGTTTTATGTTGCTTTGACTAAGAGCATTAAATTGAGCTAAAATTAAATAGAAGTACAGTTTTATTAGATTTCAAGACTCTCATTTAACATTAATTTCTTTTGCCCAGAACTTTCTAAATTTAACACCGGGCCAAAATGGAAGCTCTATAAAGGCGCCTTGGGCATTAATGCGTTGTGCAGTTAATGCTGTCGAGAACAGCTATCAAAGACCCATTGTGAAAGAGAGTCTGATCTGAATAAACTACAGTTTGAAACAAAGACCGGGTCCTCTAAGCCAAATTTGAAATAAAAGCCGCCGGCGTTTAATTTAGAAAATATGGTATTTTTGTGTTATCAATGAGTTTCAGGAATAGACCTTGTCACGGTTTTCGACGCCATCTTGACGAGTAGGCAAACGCGTGAGAAATTACAGTGTTTGTATGAGAATCTAATGTCGAATAATTTCCGTAAAACGGCTGTTCTGAACAAAATATCAATTGTAAAGTAAAGCTACAAAGCAAAGGATTCTCCAAAAAAATTTTGGGGCGTACCTGTGCTTAAATTTCTCCAGAGGCTTTCTTTAGATTTTCCATATATTTGTCTGTAATTTTTCCGGGACTTTCTTACAGACAAATGTATAGAAAATTTTAAAAAGTGGTTCTAGGTCTTCTAGTGCATGTAACGCCCTCAAATTTTTTCAAGAGAATCCTTAGGAGTAAAGCTTTAGTTTACAAATCGTATTTTTTTCAGAACAGCCGTTTTACGGAAATTATTTGACATTAGATTCTCATACAATCACTGTTATTTCTCACGCGTTTGCCTACTCGTCAAGATGGCGTCGAAAACCGTGACAAGGTCTATTGTTTTTTACATCCTTTTAATTGGAAAGTAAAACAAGAGAACCTTAAATATCATCTCAGTGTACATTGTCATTCATATATTACGTCTTTACATTTTCAAAACCTGTTTACGCGGTAAGTTAAGTAAGTATTTGCTAAACAATCAAAGATATTTTATAAATATCTGGGGCCGGTTGCTCGAAGCCTGGTTAGCGCTAACCGTTGGTTAAGAGGTATCAAAATGTATAGGTTTCCATGGTACTTAACGCTGGTTAGCACTAACCATGCTTCGAGCAACCCGGGCCAGGACGTTAAATACTTTGACAGCCATTTTTTCCTCAACAAGAGGAAAAACCAGACACGAAAACTACAAATAATATATAAAGAGGTTGGAAACTCAGCGGGAGCTACTAAGCTGTTTCTCGATGTTACAGATAGCATCCGCAACATATAGAAACAACCAAACTACCTTAGCGAGCAAAACTTTGTAGTTTACTGTGCGACAGCAAAATCGACGTTAGCGCGGCGAAAGTATTTCTGGCCCGGAGAGTTTGTTGCGCGTGACCCACCAGACAGAGTTCCGGAACGGACATGCTGACGAAAGAAAACAACGAAACTGAAAAATGTTAGAGCGAATAATAACGAAACAGCATTAAGTATTATGATATTCGTTGCTGGAGATTTTGCACTGTCGAAAAAAATATTTGTTTTCTTTATTTTGGGTCTGCTAGTTCTTGAATTTATTAGGGAATTATTATTACTTTTAGGAGGACCTCACGGTAATTTTCCTCCATAATTTTATTTATTTATTTATTTATTTATTTCAGAAATTGGATTCACTTTATTTGACTCACTGTTCAGAAGTTATTTTCCAGTTTCTCAAACAGACTATTATTGAGAGTTTCAAAACTAGGAAAAATCAGTATTCTAATCTTCACGAGTGAAAAAAGAAAATTGAAATGGCCGTTCGAAGTTTTAATTACTGACATTTCAAGTTCAATTGGATTTGCCTTTCGTTCTTTTGTTATTTCTGTTCTCAAGGACAAAATTATAATTTGCTCTGATAACCGCCCAAGGCAGAGTTCGTTTTCAGATTCCTTGCTGGAACAAAAATCCAAAAACAGAGATCAATCTGCTCTGTTCATTATCAGCAGATTACTCTACACCATTTACATGGGCAAACCGGTCGGTTTACGGATTGGGTTTATTAACGTTACGTTTTCGTCCCAGAATCGTGTTTACAATTCCGACCGTCAGGGAAACAGGAACTGCCTTTTCAGAGGTTCCGTTGCTCCCCGAAGTTTTCCACTGCAACGACCCGAAAAGTCGTGTTTCTTCATTTACTTCCCAACCGGAAGTTCACCATCACCAGAATGCTTTGCCAGTCGGAACAACAAATGTCCGGAGGTGAATCGTATTCGTTCCGCGTCCTACAAAACTGGCCAATATTAATCGCAGAAGAGGGATTGAAACTCTCTACTTTAAAAAATGCCGCCAATGAAAAAGCGCTGTGTCGTCTTGGCGCCCAATGCTGTCCCTCTACAATTATTCTCTGACACTACACATGATACGTATTTTTCCCGTTTACATTAGATAATTTTACTCTATTTTTCCTCCGGCTACTCTTAGAAGTGACTTTTCTTTACCCTGCTTGTTCCCCGTCCCCTCCACCCACAGTAACGCCATAATGCCCTTTAAGAGCATTCACAAGCTCTCTCTCGCTGTCCTCTAAACACGCCCCTTCCTGAAGTTCGCTTCTGTTAAACACCAGTCGCTTGACCGTTTCCGTTGATGAACATAGGCCACTCTGCAACAGCTTATTCCAGTCAAACGGGAAAGACGCAATCTTTTCCTGGTTAAAAGCGTACTCGCCAATCATAGCAAACTGTTTGAGTGGGTTAAAACCAGAGCTTTGCTTGCTGCCTTGACGTGAACGTGATGGTTCAGGAGGAAGAATGTGGCCCGGAACTAGAACGAGATTCAAAAGCCAATCCTGTGTAAACGTAAAACCACACGCATTACAAAAAATGCAAGATTATAACCAAACTAGTTAATAACAAAGATTAGAGTTTTTTCTAGCTCAGTAGTGAGTTAAAGAGATCTAATAATCTCCAAGTCAAAAGCGCAGGACAAAGGAAAAATCATGAAACCCGACAGGATTAGACCCTACGACCACCCAACACCAGGCGGATGTCCTATCCACTGAGTCACTGGAAAACGCTTGGAGAACGGTTGTGACAATATAACTTCGACCCAAGGGAGGTTTTGTGTCCAGCGGTCTTACTGAAAAAAAGGATTTGTAGGGGTTGCTCAGTCTCGCGGGCTCACTAAACCTCCCTTTGGTGAGGTCGATCTTATTTTGTATTTGCCTTCGAGAACAAGGCCATTTACTTAGTCTACATGTGATACGCGTCTTTCTAAGTGCTACCGAGCCGAAAATTTCTCATTTCAGTTTTTTTCATCAACACTACGGTACAGCCTTTTTTTCTGACAACTGCTATTTTTGTGCCGTGCATATAATTACAGAGTACGTTGTAACAGTGTCCTCCATTAATGTTAGTGAATAAAAACACACTGTGATTCTTTCACGAGTTCAGCTGGACCAAGGTTTACCGTTACTTTTCTAGCTAAATATAATTGCTCGATCACTGCCGTTCAGTGATAAATGGTACCTTGTTTGCCTGAATAAAGTTGTAAGCATGCCGTAAAGATGCTGAACCTGTAACGATAAAAAAGAAGTATATAGATTGTTAGGAGGCTCATTTCACCTAATGTCACTGCTTATTCAAACATAACACTAAGGTCATGAGAATGAAGGAAATCCAAGATAGTAGTGCAGTGAAGTCGTGCAGGAAAAAGTGATACGAAAAACGCGCACGCACGCTACGATAGCAAAAAATCACCTTTTTTGTCTTTCATCAGAGCATCTACCATGTGAGTGAAGTGAAGATCAGCTACTGATTCATACACTGTTTCCACTTGATATTCTTCAAACGCTCTGCGGAGACACAAACACGACTATCATAAGGGTACCCCCTGGAAACTTTTATAACTTTGGAGAACTCAGCTGCTCAAAAAATTAACAGCAACTTTAAAAATAGAGGTACCGTTTGTCTCATGGCTCTCCAATGAGTAATCTTAAAAATAACCGTAACAGTGAAATTGGTCAAAATAACAATAATTGGCGATTTCGAACAAAGCATGGCACAAAGAAGACGCATGCTTCAGTCACAATGAAGGCCAAACATCTACTTCTCCTAACGTTTCCCCGTCCCAATCCTCTCTCAACCACCGCTGCTAAACCGTGACCAAAGCAAATGCATAGTTGATCTGAGCGGCAATAGCCAACTCTCCCTAAAGGCGAGGAACTCCTGCATTGATAGCCAATGGTATAAAAAAGACTTACTGGCTTGCAATTTGCGTCTTGATTTGGCCGACCTTCTGATTCAACCAGTCTCTCTTGGAAATCAAAAGAGCATCCATGTCTGACGGCAAATCAGGATTCCTCACACCACCTGAGGAGTTTATACAAGTACACGCAGGTCACAACATAAGTATAGTCTATTGCCAAGAAAAAATAATAAGACACTTGATATGTGAATTTCACTTAAGTTATTTTTAGAGGTTCTTATTAAACGGAAGTCTGATTCCTGAGACGTACGCACATTTTAATCGATTGTTTGAGACGTCATCAAGTCCACGCGCGACTGCCTCTAACGGTCAAAGCAAACAATAAAGCATATTGTAATAGCGACAGTTGAGTTCTCTCCTGACAACACTGAACAAAAGTTTGCAGACCTCTCCAGAAACCAACTTCCGATTAATTCTTGGTTTGCAACCACGTGACAAACCGGCCATGTTGGGGGTCGATACAATAGAATTCAGTTTTCTTGAAGAATTCACATGAAAATAGAGTTTAGTTCCCAGAGGAGAAAAATGCTTTTGTTCTTGAATACCAACATGGCCGCCATGACGTCACCTGCAAATCAGCAATTGGTCTAAAAATAACTTTGGCGATATTCACATATCCTAAGGGCTAAACTGGGCGCCTCCCCTCTGTTCCATTACACTCTCTTACTATCGCTTAAAACAACTTAATGTTCCAAACACTGTTTCAAAGTCCTTTAAGAAGCGATGTCAAACAAATTTAGGGGGAATTACTGCTTAAAACAGTGAAGAATAAAAATTTGAAAAACACAAAAAATAGAAAACAATGCGTGGATGAACATAACTGAAGAAAATTAAAACGGGTAGACTGCTATTGGGATTTTGAAAGCTGATCATACAGCAAAACAGTTTTTCAAAGCTTAACTCTGTTGTTTGTAACTTGGAAAAGAACGTTCGGGGACATACTTTTTCTCACTAAGCTGCAAATTTGTAATTTAGAAGTAATTTGTCCGCGACAAAAGTTGAGTGTCGTAGCAAGTTATTGGCACAACTAAAATCTCGTACCCAGATCTCTCGCTGACGAAGCCGACAAGAGATCTGGGTCGAGATTAGGCACAACTAAACACTTTAGTGCTGCGACACAGTAACACCAACCTTCAGTTCTACCGAGGTTAACAAGAACATGCCAGACTATTTCAGCAAACATAGCCATGCATCTCTGAGTCTCCGCGCTTAGCTGTGCGTCACAAACAGACACTACTCTGTCTAAATCGCTGAGCCAGCGATACAACAAGCTGGCAAGAACCTATCAAAAAAACAAGTCCCAGATTGTTTCAGAAATATGATGATGACAATACAGGGGTAAAACATTCAGCTAAATGACACTATTTGAAACCCGCTAAATGGGTATTATGGATTTCCAAAAAATAGCCTACATAACATACCAGAAGCTGTTTATCTATCTGCAGTTAAAGTGAACCCGGTCCTCAATAAAGCAAACACAAAACGCACAACATCGCTTGTCGACTCGTTTTGTAGCAATGTTGCAAAACAAGTTGCACGTTTTTTGTTGCCCGTTTTACTGTAGTTTTAGTCCTATACTCTCCAAAAAAGCCAGTTCTCGGGTTACTCTAGATCATGCATGAGTGGTTGTCTGATATTGAGTGAGTTGCACAAATAAGTTGAGGCTTTTCACGTTAACGCTATTGATGAAAATGCTCTTGGTTTGAATTGTTTTGTCTAAGTAAACTCTTTTACGAAGGGCTATTACCTATACTATAAGGAACTACAGACAGAGATTGTTCCGAGGACGTCGGGCAAAGAGAGTTAGCGTGCTGCGATAGCGAAATCCTCGAGTACTGTTTGAGAGAATGTACTGATGCTTTCAAAGAAGTGACACTTAATTTTTACTCAGAACGTAACATTTTAGGATGATCATGAAACTAAAAAAAAAATAAGACACGAAGTTCTTCATGTAGTTAGTTACATTAATTTTCAGAAAACATGAATAACAAGTGTTCACCTTCACTCCAACTGTTTCGCTTGATAAATCTACTGACTTTTGATGTACAGACTCTGAAAATATTGGGAATCAAAATTCAGACATTCATGAAAGACCAAATTAAATACTGTCTGCAATAAAAGCCTCTTCAACTACGGAAGGGTTGCAACCCTAGCTCAGTCGGTAGAAAGATGGCTTGCAGAGCGGGAGGTCGCGGTTCAAATATAAGTGTCTTAAAGTAACGAAGACATGAACTCACGGTCTTTTCCCTACGAAAACTCGCAAGGCTCGGACGACCACGCAGAGAAGGTGGTCCTGCCTCCCACAACAAACGCAAAAATGGTAGCATATCTTCATTGCATACTCGTTATCTCACCACATAATATTAAGTTACGGGAAAGTCCACGACTGCTGAGGTAATAAACCGTCAACCTCCACCAGGGGAGGGAGGGTGGGTCGCGAAAATTGACTGTGGTCCCGGATCACAATCATTGAAATGATCATGTTTTAGGCGGCACGGTCAAATTTCAAGTCGAGGGGCGCAAAGCATTACAAGAGCAATAAGCATTCGCGAACCCGAGGGAATTCGCATGGGTTTTTAAAATCCCTGCGATTACTTGATGTTAAAAATTATGCAGCGAGAATGGTGTCGTCAAATAGTTTACTCTAACTCACAAGGCGGAGGAAAAACTTTCAAAGCAAATCATACGAAAATTGAATGAACTACCTTACACAGACTGTGTGGCCTGGGTAAATAGAGCAACCAGAGAAGATTTATATAAAATACACACCTTGCAACTTGTTCAAGAATTGACTCATTATCTTCGGAATTGCGCAAAAGTGCTGAGTCATCTGATTTAACAGATCTTGAAGAGCATTGTACAGGACCTCAGTGTGATCTAGAATTAAGTATGCGTCCATTGAGGTTAAATGTAACTCTTACATCTGGCGCAAAGTTAAAAATGTGCACAACCAATTGTCAGGTAGTCTACAGGGAGTTTAATTGACGTAAATTGACTGTTTAGGTCTTCCTTGGGGATAGGAAAGAACATTTGAAAAGAAAAAAAGTCGAAAAAACAAAGAGGAAAGATAAAAAAACGTGACATTGATTGCATGGGGGTGGCGGAAAATTGTGTTATTTATCCATAATAACAACGCAGCCACTAAATTATCAACAGGCTTATCGCCGTCCTTAGTGTCTTGACTCTTGAGATCCTTGTCTACACCGTGCGGTCTCGATAGGTGTTGTGTCAAATTTCGCTATAGGATTGTTTTGAGGACGATATCGCTTGTTTTAATTCACTAACTAGTACGAAGATGGGAAGAAAACTACGTCAAAACTCGTCCCTCCCCCCCCCCCCCCCCCCCCCCCAAACCCACCCCCGCCCCGTCGCCCGGTCAACAATCAAAATCGTAACAACCAAAATAAGAAAAAAAAAAAACACACACAAAACAAATACAACATACCCCCACAGTCACCACCGGACGCAGCGCCGCCCCCCTCCCAACATCACCCCCCCCCCCCCCCGCCCTCCACCCAAAACCGGCACATTCTCAAGTGCAACGTCAAAATAGTCAATATCACACACCACATAATATGAAAAAACAACTCCGCAAGAAAACAACTTAGCCCAGTCCCTAGGCGTCACCGGGAGAGACTTGCCCGCCCTTTCTCAGACTTGGCCAGGACAAAGGGAAAAGAGATAATTTCTAGGGACTAGGCTAGTCACAACGTACTTTTGTTATCCCTAGTCTTCGGTGACTTCTTGCGTGGACAGCTACATGGTAGCGCACTCATGGAGGTGAAGTTGTACGTTTTTGTAACCTTCTTGTCCTGTTCACATAGTAACAGCAACGACGGCTGCAAAAACCTGGACAATTGAATTAAGTGTGACCAAGAACTTTAGTACCGCTCATTAACGTACATACTCTAGATTGAAGAAGGATCAAGAGGTAATCCTTATAGTATGGCCTCTTCCTACAGCTTGCCCACCCAAGATCAAGGACAGCAAAACAGGGCGGTCATAAACAGAGATTTGTTAAGTCCCTAGTGTTCCATTTTTTTACGCCCACAGGGCCAGATCAAGAGGACGTAAGAGTACTGTAAGACAGGGTCCACGGTTTTTTCCTGGGGAGCAAGGGTAGCGCAGTGGTGAGAGCGCTCGCCTCTCACCAATGTGGCCCGGGTTCAAATCCCGGCGTCGACGCCATATGTGGGTTGAGTTTGTTGTTGGTTCTCCACCTTGCTTCGAGAGATTTTTCTCCGGGTACTCCGGTTTTCCCCTCTCCTCAAAAACCAACATTTCCAAATGCCAATTCGACCAGGTATCAGGTAGATGAAGAACCACTATGTGGATGTACTATCTGCAAATCGTTATTTATTTATTTTGTCTTATTTGTTTTCGTCTTAAACCGAGAACACTCAAAGATCTAACTTCTTGCAGATGTGACAAAAACGCAGCACCCTCTGCTCAAGTATTTTAAGATCCTGCGTGGTCGTTAGGCAAGGAATAGAATCCGCAGCTGCCGCCCCGACGTCAGGTACCCGGCAAACTGAGCTAACAATTAAGCGGTTAGTTCAATCTATAGCTTCAGAAAATAGCCGACATTTCACAACACCAACATTGGTTTCCCCGCGAAATGACGCCTGATGAACGAGCAAAGAAATTCCATACTGATGACGTGTTACTACCCAGATCTGGGTAATGCCTCTCATTGGTTGAAGCAAATTTCCTACGCGGCTCTACCAATCAGAAGCACTACCCAGATCTGGGAAGTGATACGTCATCAGTATGGAATTACCGCGCTCCTTCCTCAACGTCATTTCGCGGGGAAACCAGTGATACCGCCGCGAAATGTCGGCTGTTTTCTGAGGCTTCTCAATTTACAGTGCAATTCTCGAAACTTAGTGCACTATCATTTTAAAGCCTTTTCTCCAAGATAATAGAAGAAGCAAGGACATTAAATGTATTTACGTAGACTCGATGGTAAGAACCAATGGCGTGAAGTTCGCTTTAGTGAGATCTCTTCCTCGAAAATTAAAACTGATTGGAGTTGATCACATTCTGTAGTACAATAATAGATGCAAAAACGAACCTGACAATGTACGGGTCAAACGTCCTGTAGACACAATCCAGCCACACTGGACTCTAGCGAAACACAAGAGAGCAAAAATAATCAGCTCCAAACCCAAAACTAGGTTGATTCAGAAATAAAATAACAACCTTCATGATTTAATAATGGCTCCTGCTAAAGTGTGAACGAGCGCTTTCCCAGAAGACCAATCAAAACCAATTGTCTCCCTAAAGAACTGAAACCATTCAACTACGACCCAGTGCCCCGTAACGAAAAAAACTGCGGCCAATTGCGAGTAGCCTAAGTCTAATTCAATTTTGGTGAGTAGGTTTTCCCTATTGCTAACAGTGACGGGAAAATGAAACTGCACCTTAAAAATGCTACACAGAAAATAAAAGAATTATTTTAAAGGAAGGAATCAAGCAAATGGAGCAAAGAGGCACGAAAAACCTTGCCGTTCTTTAACTGCTATCGCAATCTACCGGGGATTTTGACACCCAGCACGTTCTTCGCGTTTTTCTTTCCGTTTATTACGTTAGTTTAGTCTTCTCAACATCAGGTTTGAGGTGCGGCATTGAAGTCATATTCTTGTCATTTTCCACACGACCACATCATTCACACGGCATAAGATCGTCTTCCTGGGGTTTTTCATTTCGTTAGCTCTCTAACCTTTTTAACCATGGGTGCTTACCATTTAAACAAACCTCCGGGGTGGAAATCTTAAACAAAAAGCGATAGAATTTGAAGTGGTGGGAGAACGAACCGCTACACATTATATCCAAACCAGCTGAAAAGATTAAAATTACATCGCCTCAAATCACAGTGCATATTTTCTGAAGCTTCTCAAACGGAATGGCACGAAATATTTGTTTTTCCACCCGGAATTTCCGTTTTTCCCATGTAAATGGCAGATACCCCACGTTTTATTAACGTTTTTGTCTCCTGAAGGTTTTTTCAATGGCACCTTTTCAAAATTGTTTCATTTGGACTTTGCAACCATATTCAGAGATAAGAATTCAGATCAATTCGTGTGTTGAGTTTAAGTAAACTTAAGTATGATCTTTTACACGTGAAAGTACCTCTTTAGCGTCTGAAATCTTTAAACCTGAAGAGGTAGAGTCAAACAGCTTCCAGCTATCCTCCCTTAAAGAGAAAAACATCGTACGAATTAGGCGGAGCAGAGCGAAACAAAACTACTATAAAAGTGAGCAGTAATCGCCGAGAGGTACTGATACAAAATACTGGTGATGTCAACCGAACTGATTAATAAGGCAAAATGGTCAAACGCTTCGACACTACTGCTTTTAATACAGAGTGACGGCCGAGAAATTGCGAGTTGTTTGTTGTTCATTTGTTAAGTCGCACAGTACACTATTACAAATGGTACGTCAGAAGTAGAGCGCATTGGTATAGAACCCAACCAAAGATTGCTGTTAACGGACCAATCAGAAGTCTGGACGTTTTCCATTCCATTCTGGGTAAGTCGATAATTGATTTTTATGCATATGAGGACCAAAAGCAACTGTCTTTACTTCTTATGCGGCATTTGCCACGTATCAATACCTGCTGACTATGGCCATGAGATAATTAACAAGTCCTGGGAAATCATTTGAAGAGTGGAAGAGAATGTGATAGATGGAGCACACCAAACCCTTGTTAAACTTCTTGGCAGTTTCCTCTGATGATGTTACCCTCTCATCGAACCATGACGATGGCACAGGTTCAACCGTTTTTGATGAATTTACTGGTGTTTTAAGGCTGCCGAGGTCTGAAAAGCGTAAGTACATGTACTGGCTCAGTAGTTAACAGTGATGCGAGTCTCTATGAATGTTCTCCATATTTAACAATTGTTCCTCGAACCCGATTGGGCTCGGAGTCAATAGCCCATGAGGCCGAAGACCGAATGGGCTATTGACTCAGAGGCCATGAGGGCGAGAGGAATAATTGTCTTAGTAAAATCCAACTAGTTGGTCAAAAATATCAGGACAAAACAACTTTAACTAGCAAAACGCGATTCAGCTGCCATTGTTTTGGTTTTCAAAGCCGGCGCTTTTCGCTACTAGTGGGCTATAACATATAGCCTAGTAGTAGCTCAACCAATCAGAACGCAGCATTGATAATAGACCACTAGTTGGATTTTACTAAAATGCATTAGTATAGTGTTTTCGCCCAGTGTAAGGGAGTCCGGATTCCGGACTCCGGGAAACTTTCCTCGTGGAATCCGGTATACATCTTAAAGAATCTGGAGTCCCACTAAAGATTAGCATCCGGAATCCAGGTTTCACCACTGACAAAGACTGGAATCCATGGCGTGGAATCCAGAATCCAAAACTGTCTTGGATTCCCTTACAAGAAGCGAATCTTTTCAGTACTGAACTAACTCTAGCTTACAAGGCAGTGTCGCATGGCAGACTATCATGTAAATATTATACATCCAAGTCCAGCTTGACTGATGGTATGGGAAGTGCATGTAAGTTTGAGTTAATTTTTCTTGTGTGTGTTGTGTGTATAGCGCGGATATGTTAGTGATATGTTGGTGAAAAGCGCGGGTCAGAGAGGTTCAATTTACACATGACAAAACCTTAACCCCTTTGCCCCTGAGCCGCCCGTAACCGCCCCTGCGGATCCATGTCCCTTCTACCGCTTGTGACGTCACCAGTTTTAACGGTCAAGGACAACTTTGCCTGCTACCTTGCGCAGGGTGAGGAGATCTTTCAAACCATACCAGAATGGGCATGATTCGGTCAAGGAGGCCGGATAAAAAAGGTAAAAAACCATGTCACATTGTCCCGAAAATTTCCAGGAACATCTTGTTCCACTAAGATCCTAAAAGCTTTCTCAAAAACATTTCCCACCAAGATAAAGCCTACTAAATGCCCAGCAAAGAGAAAAATAAAATAAGGCAAGAAAAGCGAAAGACGAAGTGAGAAGAAAAAGTCAAGATTGCCGTGCCACTCTTAAACACAAAATCTCGAAATTTTGCTTTCTGCGCATTCCCGAACTACGCAAGCTAATACTTTTTATCTGGATCAGAAGGCCGCGAAGTGTAGGACATGTAAACGGCTTTGTGGTAAGTTTTAGCTCTTCATAACAGTGACTAGAAAACCGCTCGACTAGCTTCAAATTCCCACAGGTAAATGGGTTAACTTTATAATCCAGAAATCTTTCTCGTAACGGGCAATTTAAGAAACTAAATTGACGCGATTGCCAGCCTGACATTAAATGGCCCTAGAGGTGTACTGTTTACGAATAACTCATCAACCTCATTCACCTGCACTTACTGATAACAGGTTGAATATGAATGGGACCATTAATAATACAGCCTAAAACTAACTGCACAACCATACCTCCATATTTGACAATTGTAACAGGAAGCCTTGCATTTCTGCTTAGGAGAGCCTAAGTTAAAGACAACAAATTTTTAAAATAATCATTACTACATCATCAGTCACAGTTATTGATTAATTATGAAACGTTTATAGTTTGATAAAGCTCCCACTACATTTAAAACCCTCAGGACCATAAATCGCAACAGAGGGTCCATCGCAAATAGGGTTTTTTCTGTAACTACTTGCTCCGCAGTGATAACACAGAGGAAGTCTCCAAAAGTGGCGTTACGTATATTCACAGTGTAACGCAGAATATTTACTGTTAGTGTGGAATATCTTACTCGTAAGAAGAGTGACCACTGAGGAGAAGGTTGATTTACGGCTAGTTTATACAGCACAAAAGTCGCTTGTCTATCAGGAAGTGCAGCCAGCCTAGGCGGAGAGAAAACAAGCATACAGTGTTTCAATGATTCTCTGTCTGTAAACTACATGTACAAAGAGGAGTAATGCAAATTATTGTCCATTCAAAATATTTCTCTTTTTCTACCTGGCTTTCTGACTGACTTAATGACATCATTATCAAAAGTTATTTGGGTCTTTTGCCCAGTACCACTTCTACAATGGATCAGAAACAAAAAAAAACCGTGTTGCTCAAACTTCTGATCCCTTGGGCGAAATGCCATGGTGTCGTCGATGTGTCCTCTTTACTGCGGCTGACAGACTGCTACCTTTTCGGGAAAAATGACGGCAACACGTTCTCCGTTGCAACAAAACCATGTGGTATCACCATGAATTGGAATCTCCACCGCACGTTATTAATCTGTGATTCCTACTAGTTTATCACACGTTAGTCTGCTTTTGTTGTTGTTGTTTAATTAATTTATTATTTCTTTTCTAGATTTACAGTTTTGGTATTGTTGAAAAAAAAAAACACTGTGAATGTTAAATAGAAATTCTCACCGCCCCTCGTGGGTTTTAAAGACTTCAGGATGCAACCATGACAACCAAGTAGCTGCAGAGTTTGTTAGCTCCTGATTGGATGGTTGTTCAGCTATGACATGAGAACACAAAGTCTCCAGGGGACAGCTGACTACAGTCTGCGGACAACAAACAGATAAATAGCGGTTGTGAAATTCTTTCTTAAAAAATAACAACGCGAGATGGTTTAGATAACAAGGTGTGAATGAAAACTTAGAAACATCATTTATGCCACATTCACACCAACTTACCATGTTTAATTAATCTAGGTTTAAAAAAGAGAAAAACAGTAACAGAAAACTAGAACACAGGCTTTTACACAGAATTCCGATGAATTTCAACACGTAACGTAATTGTACCAAATTTGCAATCGATAAAAGTACAGAAAGCAGCTTCTATAAACAAAACAATTTAAAGTCACGGGGTCTCTCCCAAAAAGAGGTCCGCATACACCCACTTTATGAAAGATACACCTAATTGCAATAAGGTTGTCATAGAAAAAAGCAAAAAGCCAAATAGGAATTAATTAGCTTTAAATTATCATTGCTTGCAACATTCACAACACACACGCTTATAGCTGAATATTAATCACGTAATATGAAAGCCAAATCATTTGCATCAGTTTCTTGGTGTCATTCTAATGCAATTCGAGGCTGATTCATCTAGCAGATTTCAAACGTGCTCTAATTACAAACGTACATCGGATAACTTCTAAAGAAAAAATGGCTCCATTTTTTTTCAATAAATATAGCCTGGGGTAAATTCCAGGAACGCGACGCGTCTTTTCGTTTAATGCTAAATAGAAAAGCCAGTCTGCGTATGGTTTGTAGTGCACAACACCATCAGATCACAATTTTCAAGCAACAAATCAGCGATGTAGGCAGGACTTTCCATCGCGGAGAGGGTGAGGCGTTCCTCCGCCAGTTCCTCTCCCGCGCCACAAACCAAGCTTCGTTTGTCAGGACCCTTTTGTTACACACATCAGTGTTTCATGTGCGGAATATTACAGCGCGGAATTACAGAATTATTTCTTGTTATTGTGAATGACTTCTTAAATAATTGTTAAATTATTAAAATACGCAAATGTAAATCACATGGCTAATTAATTCCTATTTGGCTTTTTGCTTTTTGCTTTTTTCTATGACAACGTTATTGTAATTAGGTGTAACTATTGCATACAATTTCTACGTTAACATTTGTGTAGTACCAAGTTGTCACTAAAAGGTCTTTGTATACTCTGACTAGCATAGAACATACAGTGAACGTAGAGATGTCCGTGAAGTGGTCGCTTAAGAGAGGTTAATACCAATGGAAAAGCTTATTTTAATATCATAAAACCATCAGCCTTGAAAATACGATCTTGATATTTTACCAGTGTAGTCAATAAACAGGAGCAGAGTCTGTGAATGGCTGGAAAAGGAGCCGCTGAACTCTGAGGATCTAGCAAGAATGACACAGATTTACAGCAAAACCACAAGAATGACAGAGTAGACAACAGGATGGTTGTGATATCTGACCTAAAAAAACGAAACAAAATTTTTAGTGGTGATAAAGAAGTTAATAACAATGCTTTCTTCACAAGTCTGGTAGCAATTCTTAAAAAATTCTTGAAATACCACCATCTACATCTCAAGTGACTAAATGGTGAAATAAACAATAATTACACAATTTGGAAAAGGGAGAAATCCAGCACCAGAAAGCTCCAAAAAAAAATTCGAGCTTCAGGTGAGAATCGAACTCTCGCCCCTCCAAGTTTAAGTTCGGATGCTCTAACCCCATAACTACAAGAGGCTTTATGGCGAGCGGAAATTTCATTGTAATTACATAGAGGACTTGTTATACCTGAACTGCTTGACTCTTCTTACTGAAGGAGTTACTCTGCTATATCTTGTTACCAAGGTAACCAAAGAACTGTGAAGGACAGAAGTAAATATTTCCTGAGCTTTCTCAGGTGGACAATAGGTCCATAAATCATGGCGTAAACCTTGAAGGTGAAAGTTCCACATCTGCACAGAAAATGAGCATCTTTCATCCTGTCCACGTAAAGAATGTGAGTAATGTCAAGAGTAAAGGCACACATATCTAATAAGAAGGCCAGCCACAGCTGAACATAAACCATGTTTCAGTGACTTGATGCACCTACAAACAATCCTGCTTACTAACCATCGGGAAGGTTGACACTTTGATCACACCCCGTCTTCCCTTACAGAAACGTGAAAATCCAACAAAAACAAAAAGTCCAAAGACAAACCGTTTTCAATTCTTTTAAGGGGAAGAGAGGAAGGTCCTTTGAAGTGTTCCAGGGTTGTAAGAGTTTACTCCTCTCTGCAGATCAGTTCATCACAGGGTTACGCCCAACAGTTTCTTGCTGGCACCCATACGCAGTCAAACATGTACTTAAAGGTTACACTTGGAAAATTACCAACTAACCTCTTACTACAATACATGCGAGAAGCGAGCGCCGAAGGCATGAGAAAATTCCAAAAGCGTCCCCTTCCCATTCTGTGCACAGCTTCACAGCTCCCCTGCCAAAACTTTCCTTGCGAGAATGATTGCGCTGGCTACACAGGCGAGACATGGCTAGTAACTATTTAATCAAGGGTGACCTCTTAATACTAGAAAAAATTGTAAAGGAGTCTTGAGTCTTGATCGCGAAACAATTTGATGGCCAAGATTTAAACCACTTAACTCAACTCTGAAAGAAATGGAAATCCCTTTTTTCAAGACCCAGACATTTTTTAAAAACATTTTTCATACCAGGAATGCAGTGAACAGTAGTAACATGAAAGAAAGGGGTAACCATGTTACCTCAAAGAAAGGCCTATGGCCTGTCCAATTGTGACTGTGGGTATCCTGTAGTATTACTGTTAAAATGATTGTCTCATGGTAACTGATGATTTGATCACTAACGCTATCAACAAGTTCACTGAACTGACGATGTAACACAGGAAAGGGACGTCTGCAAATCAAAGAGAAAAGTCACCTTGATGGACAACCATATCACAGTTAAGTTTTCTGCTGTACACTACAGGGCTACAAGTGTATCTTGAAAATGTTCATCCATTTTATGTATCTACTTTTGGATAAAAATTGATTATGTACAAAATTCATATACTTTTAAAAAAATGATAAGATTGTTGCAATGAATGTATGAATTTATGGAAAGTTTCCACTCATTTACGACATTGTCAACTATCAAAAAATATGCAATAAAAATAACCTACACAGTAAGTACAATACAGATTAGTGTATTTGTATAATATATAGGAATTAATCCTCTTTACAGGGCTCTAGAAAACTCCATGTGGTCGTCCAGGAAAAGAAGATTTGTCCACTTGACAGTAACTTTTCACACTCACTTGCTCGATGTGCAAGGGCCTAAGAAAGTTTTCGTCCAACTAAATAATAAAGGGAGGCAAGCATGCAAGTACCCCGAAGGACATGCTGGAATTTAGGTTTTCTTCAAGTTCTGTTCTGTGGATCTGGTTCTGACTGTTCATTGTCATGTATGCTTGCAATGGCTTGAATAAAGTTTGTCTGTTCGTCTGAGTCGAGTCGAGTAGATTTTCTTGCTGGGTAAGTAACTTTTACATCTCACTTCCAAAGTGCAAGGGTCCAGGAAAGTCATTCTTCAACTAAATTCCATTCAAGCATTAACTAAGACAAACAAGTAGTTGCTTCGGGCAATTACAAGCAAAACGTTAGAGCTGCTTGCCCAAAGGACATGCTGAAATTCAAGTTTTTTTGAGCCCTTATATAGAAAGGTAATTTGTTACCTTGGTTCAGAGCCCAGTATATCTTCATAATAAACCAAGTGATTTCTTATGAACACAGCACTGCTGAGAATAATGTACAGACAGTCTACACTGCAAAGATGGGGGAAGTCTGACAGCAGCTACAACACAAAATGATTAAATTCATTTACAGTTAAGGCACTGGTACAAGGGAAACGGGATGGTTTAATGGCAGGACCTGTGGTACATGCTGTATTACTTCAACAAAATGTTCACAAAAAGGTTTCCTTATTCCCCATAGTCTTTCAACATATGTAGCCATTTGCATTTATGAGCTATGTAGGTGTGTGCCCCTGTATTGGCTTACAATTTTGTTTACAATGGTGGACAAAAGAACTTGGGACTGTGTGAAAAAACCCTTCCAAGTAATTGTTACATAGGACTCTGCTCCTAATGACAATTTTTTTATCAGTTTTAGGTTTATCCCCCCACTCTCCCCCCGCCCCCACCCCCCAGCAATGTTGTGGACAAAAAGCACTCATCTAAAACTTCAACTTTGTTTGGGGTGTGAGGGGGGTGGGTTGCCTGGAGGGGAGGGGTGGCTAGTTTTACTAATATCAGTTTCTAGTTTTACTAATTTAAACACAGTAGCAAATTTCTGATTACTCGTACCTGTATTAATCTGGAATGATAAGACTTGAGACAGGCTTCTAATGAGTCCACAAATGATGACCTAACAACATGGAAGAGTTTGCCACCATGATTGCTTGCAAGTGGAAGAACTTCATCTGCATTTTCCATGATCACAGCACAACTCTGTAAAACAAAAAAAGAGCTGATACAATATAGAGATTAAAATAACATATTATTGTTTGTGCTTTTAAGCTTTGACACACCACACTGTACATGTAGAGCTTATAACCACACTGGACATCACTAGTGTTCACAATTTGTACAGACTAGTAAATATAGCCAAAGGTTACGGAGTGCAAGCGACAACAATCGAAGGTTAAATCGCTTTTGCTCCAGCGCTGTGCTTTGGATAAGTTTCATGTGACAGATGATCAAAACACACGTGATCAGATTACAGGTGATAGAAGGTACAAATGCGCATGATTGCATTGCATCATGTGTATTCCATTCATTCTAAGTGGATGTCCAAATGAATCCTGGCTACATACATGCAATGCATGCATAATAACAACCTGGAGATTAGGATTGCCGGCTCCTCTTGTTGCCCACAATTAGTGTAGAAAATTCTTGTTGTATGAACTACAGTTGTATAAACCATGTTATTTACAGTATGTACACATGTATACAACATTCCATGCTGTTGTGTTTGAAGTTGGCATGTTCAAAGGAACTTCTGTGTCACATTTACCTTTGCAATTTTTCTGGGATAATCTTGTTTACCCCCAACAATGTCATCTGGATAGATAGCAACAAATTTGTACATTTATCAGTATATTTGAACAATACAGTTTGTTTCTTCAGTAATAATACTGAAAACCTGGAAACTGTGTGCAGGGTAAAATAAGCTGTACATGTATATATTTAAAATTGAGTTACATCTTTATTCATTCAATAAAGACAAGTTGTAAGAGGTTAGTGAAAATGAAATTCAAGTTAAAACAGCTTCAGTCTCGTTTGATTCTCAATTTCCTTTTCCTATTAGCATGGGGAGAACTGCAGCTACAGTGTCTCTCGCAGCATAAAAGAAAATTTTAATAATATACGTTAAGAATTCTACATACTGACTTTTTAAAAATAATTTCAACCTTATCCCTTAGGTTCATCAGTCATGCTTTCAAAAACAAAAAAACAATCAACACAGGTGTGAACAAGGACATTTACAATGTGGCGTATATACAATTGTCATCCAAACCTCTCAGTTTAACAGAAGGGATCTTCTTCCACACTTGGTATGACTGAAGCTCATCATCAAGAGCCTTTTCACAACTTTTCTTAATACTATCACTCAGAGATAATGAAATCTTTGAAGTGTGACTCTTGAATTCATCTCTCCAAGGCCACTGTGATGACTGGCTTTGGGATAAACTACCACTAATGCTATGGGTTTGGGAATCCACTTTGCTAGTAACAGAACCTGAAATTAACAAAAAAGAGTGAGTAATATCACGCAAGTATTGAAACTGTTTTAATAGACCCCTTTATTCTGAGGGGCTTAAGCTGCAATAAACCACTCAAAAAATAATTACATGACTATTGTATATAGCTGATTCAATAAAGATTTCTTAGGGCATTGGGAAGCTATCATAATTAGGTGTTCACTCAAGTAAATCATGGTATTGTTCGATATGCCCAAATGCACAATGTCCAATTACCAATGACCAACTACCAAAGCAACCTTTTTTGATTTAGCTGTATACACTGATGTTTTTTTAAATTTCAGCGGTTAGAATGTCTCAATTTCTTAATGCCTGATCTTTCAGTCTCAAAGCCCCCTTCTTCACAAGCCATCTTGGAGTTACTCATGAATATTTTAAAAAATGATAAATAAGAGGAAAGTCAGTCTTTACCCATTCCTCACAGAAGGCAACATGGCTGAGTGGTTAGACCACTGGAAAAAATAGGCCTTATCACGGTTTTCGACGCCATCTTGACAGGTAGGCAAGCAGGCGTAAAATTACAGTGTTTGTATGAGAATCCGATGTCGAATAATCTTCATAAAACGTCCGTTTGGAAAAAATTTAAATATTGTAAACTAAAGCTACAAGGTAGAGGATTCTACTGACAAACTTTGAGGGCTGTATTCGCGCTAAAACGTTCTCGATAGCTTTTTTAGATTTCCTATACATTTGTGTATAATTTTTCCCAGGAAATTTAGTCGGCGGGAAAACATTTTTACAGACAAATGTATTGGAAATTAAAGGTCACTAAAAGAAGCGATTCTAGGGCGGGCGAGGCCCTCGAATTTTGTGAAAAGAATCTTTTGTCTAATAACTTGAGTTTACATTTCATAGTTTTTTCAAAACGGACGTTTTACAAAAATTATTCGACATCAGATTCTCATACAAACACTGTAATTTTACGCCTACTTGCCTACTCGTCAAGATGGCATCGAAAACCGTGATAAGGCCTATTGCAAATTGTCTGGAGGCCCCAAGTTCAACTCCCACCCTAACCACTAACTGGATTTTGTTCTTGATAGTCCTGAGTTCTACTCCTCCCCTGCGCTTGTAAATAGCCCACTAGTTTGCCTCCAGTCAGTTGGGATTCTTAACTTTGTTATATTTATTTTCCAGTATTTTTTTCTGTCCTAATATTTGAGGGCTACAATGAAAACTACTGGGTCTGGTTTCTAGAAAAATGGTTACATTTAAGCCAAATTTTAAGCAAGGTTTTCTTGTCTAAGAACATGCAACTCGAGCTTACAACACACTGTTGAGCTTTTACTACAAGATATAGGTATGATAACACAAAATGTTACTCTAAGCAGAACATAGGAAGGTAAATACAAAAAGTGGAACAAAATTTTAATCCTGGATTAGCGCTAATCGGCCTTTAAAGAACCGGGCCCTAGACTTCAAAACTTTTGGGTCTCTAGGCAGGGTGCAAAGAAAATCATTTTACAGCTTGCCATTCAGGCAAGCTGAAGCCAACATTTACTAGCCCAGACGTCATCTCAACTAGCCCCAAAAGCTTTTTGAAGAGCAGAATTGATTTCACAGTTCTTCTGTTATTTGATTTCCTCAAAAAAGATCACTTGCCTGTCGGGCAAGTTAATAACAGAATTCAGTAGCCCGATAGCAAATTCCACTAGCCCTGGGCTATCGTACACTACTTTTTTGCATGCTGCTTGGTTACCAGTTATTCAATTGTTTTTTTTAATGGACTTCTAAACACCATTTTGCAAAGGGAAATAATTATCTCAACCCAAGGTACATTTTTAAAAGGCAAATAACTATGCATTAGTTTTTTCTTTTCTTTTGTTTTTTTTTTAGTTGGGTGTATTAGAAGTGGAAAGGAACATTTTGCCCAAGATCATGGGGTGGTTCTACAGCCCTGTCAATCAAATAAAATAATAGGAAGTTTCAATTCTCATTCAGCTTAAAATATACCCATATAGATGTACAGTTCATGTCATATGGATGAAAGTACTTCTGAAAAGCTGTTGTTTTGAAAACTCTTCAAAAGAGGAAGTGAAGCTCACAAAACTTAAACTTCCAAGTTCCTGCCACCTTCATCACATTTCCATGGTACTATATTCTCCACCACAACCAAGTGCTAATGAAAAGCAAGTGAAACCCTACGCATATAGATTTACTTCAAACGTGCATTGTTTTATCAGCTTACCAAAAGGTAAAGGTAGATTTCCCTCTGCAACATAAAGGCCGGCATGATTGCCCTTTTTAGAGCTCTGTCGATTGGGGCTCCTGTGTCCCAAAACTGGACTGGAAGGGGACTTGGTTGCATTCTGTAGATTTCCGACTCTAGTCACTACAGCAGAGAAAAGAAGTCATAATGCTATAAACTCATGAATGTAAATCTTGGTCTGTCACTAAGGCCCGTAAACCCTACAACCTGTTACAGATGACCTGATGAAATATAACAGGTAATGGTAGTGAGTAGCCAAAGAAATGACCATGGACACTTGAGGAAAAGTAACAAGTGCAAGATGGCAAGCTACAGTAAAATGCTTCATAACTCAGTGACAGCCCACTTAAAATCAGTGAATAGGGCTAACCAAAAAAATTCCTTTCACTCTATTAATTTAAACAAACAAGCAAAATAAAATAGTGAAAAAACTGACAAGCCAGCCCCCCCCCCCCCCCCCCCCCCCCCCCCCCCCCCCCCCCCCCACCACCCACCCCCCAAAACCACACAAAAAAAACCCGAGGCGCCCACCCTATCTCTACACTTTTCAAACAAATTTTTTCCTATTATTGTTATTATTTTACTATTACAATATTAATTATTATCTAAATTATATCTATCCACCATCTCTACAAAAAAATATAACTGGGGAAAAAGTAACAGATGAAAGAAGGAAAGCACAAAAAAAATCTTTTATAAACCAGGAACAACCCAATAAAAAAAAAGTAAAAGGGGCCACCAAAAAAAATCCTTTCCCTCTTTTAATTTAAAAAAAAAAACAAAAAAAAATAGTGAAAAAACACGAAAACCCCCCCCCCCCCCCCCCGCTCCAACTACTCCCACCCCCCAAAAAATTCAGGGTTCGAACAGGATTCAACAAAAATTTGGAGGGCTTCACCTATATCTTCATTTACAATGTACATTGATTTTGCATTTAAAGTCACTGTATCATTATAAGTATTATCATCATCATCATTATCATCACTACAGTCAATTTTATTAAAAACAGTATTTCATGTACTAATAGAGAGCTTAAGCAGAGACGTCTTTTTGTTTGACGCATGTCGACCGGAAGTGTGCCCTTTTTCACTTTAATATGCTTTGATTTGTCTTGGTAAGAGTCTTTACTCATATGCAGATGATTTGCCCAAAAATATGGGCAAGTTCGCTGTCCAAGAATGCAAAACGTCCACTTCCCATTGACGTACATCGCTCAAAAATGATCCCGCTTAAGCTCTCCAATTACATGTACCTGTCCCTTCCATTTCTGATCTCTGAGTAGTGACCCTTTGTATCAGTTGCTCCAATGAAACCATGGCACAAAAAAAATATTTGTAAGCCAAAAGGTTATCTTTTGGATCACTCTGTTTAACAGTCAACACACTAGAGCCTCTTCTACTACCTGATGGCCGTTCCACTTCACTCAGTGATGCATGTTCATTTTTCTTGTTACTACTACAAGACTCGCAAACAGACTGTAGCTCTTGTGTAATCTTCACTAAGTATGAATCATAAATGTAGTCAAAGCTTGGCACCTTGTCAGGGAAAATACCCTCTTGCAAAATTACTGCATCCTCGTGTATCATGATTTCAGCAGCTTTACACAGCTTGACAAATGATACAACATTACCAGGAATGTTACCCTCATGTGGGATCAGATCTGTTTCAATGTCTTGCAACAAAGCTTCATTTCTCACATATTGGTCCATCAACTTTCGTCGATAATTCTTGTATCCCTTCCAAATTTCATTGGCAGGATAAAGAAAACATAAGTCTTGTAACAGGTTTATTTTCCTTTCATCACAAAATATCTCACTGTGTTCATCAAACAGAGGTAGATTTGCCAGAAGAGCCCAAAATCCTTTGCGCAGTTTGCTCCTGATAGCTTCCCATAAGATGTCAGTAGCTTGTTCATTTTCTATTACAATGGTGTTTAAAGGTACCTCCTCTTGTTCACTGACTCCATCTTTCTGAGGAAGGCCAAAGGGCATTACAATTCCTTGCTGGGAAGCAAACTGTACCAGGTCGTCAAAGATGGACTCCTCTTGGCCAGGGTTACGTTCTAGTGCCTGAATCTGAATGACAACCCCAACAACAAGATATGCCTTTCATAGTCTGATTTACAACAAATACTGTAACTAATGTAATATAACTTGAAGGATGCATTGTTAGTGATTTTACCAGTACTTTATTATATAATGTTACAGGTCAAATTTGATTTCAGGTTAAATTGGATTTAACCTAGGTTGATTCTCAATTCCTTTGTCTCCTAGCTGGCCCTAAGAGACCAAGGAATTCAAGAATCAACCTAGGTTAAAACAATTTAACCTGAAATCAAATTTGACCTGTAACATATACATGTATGAACTTTGCTCAAAGGTTTCAAGTGTTTTGGACATAAATGTAAGATTCAGTCCCGAATAGCTGGCCATTTGCACGATGATGACTCCTTACAACTAAGACCAGAAATCATTCTCTTTTTCTTTCACATTTAAATTTGGTAATCCCAGTGAGGTTCAAACAACAAGGGCCCAAATTTGCACATTAGAAAGGAATACCCCAAAGGATTCTGGTAGTAGTAGTTAAATGATGCCATCATGCAAATGGCATATTGTTAAGCAAGGGTCTTCCCATCTTATAAAGGCCTGGAATTCCCATGCTATAAATATGCAAGAATCAGCAAAGAAAAAATTCATGTTCACTTGCAAGATGAATAAAAGCTTACCACATTGTTCAAGAAACAGTTGAGTGCAATAGGCTCATACGAGCAGGCATTTGTCTGTGTAATATTGGATGATGCCAAAAGATCAACTGCCCCTCTTGAGTTTAACCATTCAGAAGGATTTTGATTTCTGTCTTGAGAGATGGTATTGCAAACATCCACAAACTGTCCCCAGCTTTCCTGCAAGCTATAAAATAATGTAAAGGGAAATTATGATTTTGTTCAATGATGTCTTTACAAGGAGACCGTTCTTGAAAGAATTTTAAACACAAAACTCAACAGTGTCACGAGTACAGTACAACACTGAAGTAGGGGGTAGGGTATCAGGGGACAAAAGGAGGAGTGGACTGAGGATGATAGCAGACAATAGGAAGAAGGGATAATGATAGTAAGAGGCAACTGCAATGGGAATAAGTAACAATACCATGGGACAATGGGGGGAATGGAGTGAGGATACTAAGGGCGCTTTGCAAAAGTCAGAACTGGCCAGCTGGATCATGGTCAGACCAGACATTTTGGCAATGAAAAATAGGCTTTTTTCAAGAGGTTTGCTGAAAAACCATCTCCCTTGTACATAATATTTAGGATTTGACTGATCTGGATGGTTAGTTTTGATTTTAAGTGAAATTCTCATTATGATGGGAATGGGCTGGCTGGTCAGTTCTGAGAAATGGAAAGCACCCTAAGAGACAATGGTGGAAATGAGTGAGAATAACAGAGGATTGGCAGGGCTGTACTCTAGCAGCAACCAGTGGCCTGTAGCGCCTAACTTTTAGTCTTGGGCTACTAAAAAATCTTAATTTTTTCACAGAAATCACATGCTGGGTGCCCTGTATTTTACAAGTTTAGAGCACTGGGCTCCCTTCAATTTTTCTTACAGCACAGCCTTGACAATAGGGGGACTGGGGTGAGGGGAGTAAGAGGTAATGGGAGAATGGGTGACAGTAACATGGGACATTAAAGGGGAATAGGATGAGGATATTAGGAGAGAAACTTAGAGACAGGGCGAGGATAATAGGGGACCATTTGGGGTGGGGTGGGGAAAACAGGGGAAAATAGGTGAATTGGGGTGAAAATATTGGGACAAGTGGAGGAATGTCCATGAAGAGGTGCAGTGAAAAAGAACAACCCTCCCCACCACCTTAATATATTTCTGCTTCACATACATGTTAAAGTATAAACACTCATAAACATTGTGGATTTGTAACTTTGTATCAACACCTCTATTTCACATGAAATTATTGTGTCTCTAATACTGCATTTTAAGCCATTTTACAAGCATACAGAGTATCTTGTCATTTAAAGCTATATTAAGGTTATTTGTAAAAGGAAAAATAAGACACATCTTAAGACAAGATACATCCTAAATAAAACGTGAATTGTACAAAGTATAAGTATGTCCTAGACAAGACAAGATGGTTCACGTCTTGTTATCCCGGACTTGTTCTCATGTGACTGTTTCTAGTAATAATAGTAATCTACCATGCACCCATGTGACAAAGTAAAGAATTTTTCCATGCCAGCCCCGCATCTGGCCAAGCAAAAATTTTTCTGCTCAATCTAAAATTAAGGCATGCATTCTAAAAGTTTGCGTCTAATATAAAACATGAAGCTCATTTGTACATCGAGGGGGGCATTGAGTTGGGGGGTACCCAATACCACAATACAGTAAGAAAATTTGGCAAATACCAAAATAGCGTGTCAAATATCAATGAAATACTGATACTGCAATTATTTTCAGATACGCTTACTTAAAGTTGTGTCCATCTTGCGTGTTTGTTTATCTCATGCATTTATGCACCAGCAATCAACCTCAGCCATTGCGAGGAAACGTGAGACGACCTCAAATTGATCAGTACAACGATCGAAAAGGATGCTCTACCAATTTTGTCTGTCAGAAATTGTGTAATCAGTTATCATTAATCTAAAGCCTTAAAAATACTGATGTCCATTAGACAGGAGAGTGCAATGAACAGTACTGCAATACCATGAAAGATCTTTTACCGAATGTCCCATTGGCCAAAAGGATGAAAAACCGCATACCGCAGTGCTAAATGATACCACAATACCGTACTTTAAAATCAAAATTACCGAAATACCGCTTGAAAAAAACCTCAATACATCGCAATACCGTAAACCCCCTCTACATGGCGTTCTGTGTCTTAGCTATGTCTTAAGATGTTATTGTAAGTCATATACAGTATTCAACCTAGGTTGCCAGGGTTAAAACCCTAGCAGAACGTTTATCCATAATCCTAATAGCCGCTATGCTGATATGACCTAAAAGCGAATAATTTTAAAACGGATGCACCTGCAGCGATCAGAAATTAAAAGGAGAATTTCGACAAAAATTAAGGACGGTAATAGAAACTCTGGTGAAACAAAAAAAAAATTCAAAATCAAGCAGAAACGTTATACCCTAGAGAGACATGGTCGTGCATGCGGGCCACTTTACGGGGGCCAAATTTGCTTTCCACATGCATATAAAATACATGGCCATTCGTTGATGATCAGTTAGGGCAAAACTAAGGGAGACCGTCTGAATAGGGTGATTTCCTAGGGGTCCCTGAAGAACGTTTCATACCTTCCCGTGTTTTCCTCTAATCGAGCATCGAGCTTCTGGATGGCATCCTTGATCGATCCCACATCCAGCGAAGAAAAATTCAGTCCATTGACCAACAAGGACAATTCTCCAATCTGATGTTTCTTCGTCTTCGAGTATCGCGACATCTCTCGCCCCTGACAGCGCCGAATATGAGCTATCAAAGGGCGTAAAATTCACTAAAAATACTAGAAACTCCAGAAAACTGTCGAATCGTCATTCTGTATTTATGATCAAGCTCTAATAAACAGAAAAAGAATTGACTGTGCTTGTTTTCCTAAGTTTCGTGATGTTTACAAAATTTCACCGAATCATTCTTGCCGGGCGCAGATGGCTATGGCGGACGTTTTCCTTATTTGGTTATCATTCCCAAATACGGTTTATGTCAAACCAAGTCCCTCGCAAGCTTGGCCCGCTGCGGCATCACCGGGCGCGATCCATTCAACCAAAAATTTCCGGAAATTTCGGAAAAGTTTCGAAAAAATTGGTCCACCTTTTGAAGAGGACCACTTTTTCCTGTCGGACCGGTCTGAATTTTGTTTGAATGGATCGCTCCCGTGTCTGTGAGTTTTTCTAAAGCGCTTCATTTCTCACGCCCCCCAGACCGATCACGACAGAGACAACGGGACGAAAAATGAGAACCCTAATGCGACTCCGATGTTTTTAAATTAAAGTTTACCACTCTGCCCTTGCCAAGCCACAGGGTACCTAAGCTCCTGATTCTCGATCGGTGCCGAAGATCAGGAGGCGTGAAAACTAGCAATAAACGCCGCAGCCAATCAGAAGAATGCGGCGTTTATTCCAGGATTGTAAGAAAGAATCGGTAGAACTTGGTAATCTACACCTTCCAGACGTTTACGACTCTGTCTGAGAGAAATTGGAACTTTAAACATCTCAAGCTTCTTTATTACCAATTCACATTACTTGTAAATTCCAATCAGTTGTATTTTTAATAGTATTGTTTTGCTTCAGACAGGGAATAAGCATTTTCAGATTTTAAAGCATTGTAATAAATAATCGATGTCGTGAACATGCCCAAAAATGTCAAAACAACTTATCTACTGGCCTAACGGGAACTTGGCTGCAAGTCTCAGGATAGCCTTGGATGTTTCAATGCGCCCGCGATTCTCCCCGTTTGAGCCAAACTTGAAACGTGATTGTTCTCGACAGATTCAGGGACACACTCCCTTATGCCCCTTTAACAAATTTATCATTCAGTGCTTAGTTTAGATAATACACAAATTTATTTTTAGATGTAGAACTTATATCTAGTAGTATTTATAGATGTCGTGCTAATTACTTTTTTGTCTTGTCGTTCACTATCGTAGAAACTAATTCATTAAATTTGACAGCATATTTTCAAAGAAAATGGTGTTTCTAAGTGTTCTTACAGTACATTTGAACATTTTCCCTTCAAAATCCTGCTACGCTGGCAACGGGTTGGATTTTTTAGGTAACCTGTACACGGAGGGCAGACAAAGCACAGGCTGCCCAGCGATTTGTATTACTATCGATATGCGTGCTGATTTTCTCACGCAACCATGTACCAGCCATACGTGCGCTGGCTGCAGCACCGGCTGGCAAAAATGTATCCTGTCAGCGTAGACACCCAAAATAGCAGCTTCATTAGGAGGATAGGAAAGATGTAACTACTGCTTGTCATATTAACAGGATGAAACAAAGAAAAAAGAAAAGGGATTGGAACAAGCGTTGGAATTGGCGATCACCAGGAATTTTAAGACGTGCACGGGGCGATGTTCATTAAGCGGAAAGGTGGATAAGGGCGTATAAAATATTAGTTAATGCAGCTATCTTTTCATTTTTTTTTCCTCACTGTGAGAACGATGAGCTCAGTTCTTTTGGTGAACTGACTTTCCTCGTCCGAGCAATGATGTTGCTAAATGTGGCCTGACATTTTGGACGTCAAATACTTGGTGCTACATTTTAGCAAAACTAATATATTAAACTTTGTACTGTTAAAATGTCAACTTTGGCTTTTAAATGCGTTGCGGCTTAGTTTTCACAAATTTCTTTTCGTTTTGACTGCGGGTCAACAGGCGGACTCATCATGAAACCTTAATTCATATGAGCGTACTTGGTAATTAATTTCGCGTTTATAGCGATTGTAAAGATTAAGAAATTCCCGCGAAAAACTCCTAACACCCATATAGAAAACCCAAATAACAGAAAATCTTGATTAACATGCGAATGACAACAACATTACAGGATATACTACAAAAATTATTAACTGGTTTTACTGGTAAGTTCTGCTGCGAAATGACGTTCAAATAACTGGCTATCATTTTCTTATAAATTAAATTGCTACATTCGTACAATTCCCTTAGAATTAACATCCCATAGTAGCGAAATTTAATGCCCTTTTTCACATTTGCCAATTTAAATCGCGAAAGTAAGACTTCGCATTATCGAGAAACACATTTGCTTTTTGTAAATGATAGGCCCTCTTAGTCAGGTAAGCTATGCTTTCAAGAACAATTTAGAAAAAATAAGCATAGGTGAATGCTTTGAAAGAAGATAACCAAAATCGCACGAGTCTGTACGTATGTAAAATTATGGTCTTTGAAACCTGGAACTAGTAAAATCCTGTGGTTTTTAATACGATTAGCTGGTTTCTTTTCGTTCTTTTCGAAAACATCGGCGAGCGCACGCGGACGGCGCGAGAAAGAAAAATAAAGAAATAATACGATTTTAAAACAACTATTCATGTCTGTAAACTCTTTATTTGATGAAATTCATATAACAAGCTATGACAGCTTATCATAAATTAAAAGGAACGAATGGACAGCGTACAACAACAAACGGAGGTGCAGTGTCAGTGTTTATTGTCTATCCATTTATTTCGGTTTATTTATTTCACGGATGTTTTTCGCATGACACGCGTAGTATCAACTCATACTTGAGATAAAGACGAACCCCAGTCACCACAAGCTAAACTGAGAGCCAAGCTGTTGGCACTTCACGTTAAAATAGCACTGAGATCCTTCTAGCTTTGTTTTGCGTAAAAGCTGCTTTATTGATAAACTTATCAATTAAGCTTAACCAAAAGGAAGAAATGAGATGGCAGCCCCAACCATTATAAGATGAAACAAAATATTCAGACAGTGCATGACATTAAATACATCGTAATTACAATGTATATGCATGTTAAAAACACCTGTCGCGAGGTATTGAAATCTCCCTTAACATTCAGTTTTAAAAACGTAAAAGAGTTTTCGCGTTTTGTTTAAGTTGCCTTAGGAGCGCCTTGGACTAGCTGATATCGGAAGAATAATCGGCCAACTCCCAACATTGTTGGGAGTTGTTGCGTCCGTTGGCACGTAGCAATACGTTAAATTATATTGTACAAAAATTGCTAGTTGGTCCCAGTATTGGGCTGAAATTACTCAAAAACAGTTTAACAACCTCCATTTGCGATCTATGTATGGACCTAGGGAACTTTGAAATCGGTAACTATTACAGGACATTGGAGAAAAATTATGTTTTTTTTTCCTTAATAGGAAGACCGCAACGATGAACAGGAAGAAACAATGTGTATATATACATATGGGCACAACTGATACAAAAATATACAATTGAGTGGGAGCACATTAGTCTACAAAGTGATTCTTCATTTACCATTCTAGTCTGGAATGGACTTGGAATTCAGAGTCATTGCTAGTTTTGAGAAGAGGGGTAAACACGAGACAAAATGGAGAAAAACGCCTTAGAGTAGGGGACAGAACCAATTATGAACGCAACCCAAATCAACCCTCCACCAAAAACCTAGTAGGTGAGTTGCTAGAGTCATTATGACTTTTGAATGATTGGCACAAACATCTTTACATGTTTTTACACGCTAATATCCCCACAATTGCACATGCAAATTTCATTTCTCCATATGGTTGTCGAGGATATCTTCTCATGTTTGACAATGACGAACAATATTGTCTTTATTTGCTCGCACGTTAATAGCAACCAGTGACCCGAGACAAACAGTACTCGGGGAACACGTTGATGAACAAGCATATATAAGAACGAGAAAGTAGCGCTCCTATACACTTTTTTGCTACAAGAAAATCACTGTGAAATTCTGAGTCTATTCCTTCTGACTCTTGTGCTCCTGTTCCCACAGCCTGTGTCATTTCCAATGGATAATACTTCTCTCCCACCACAAAAACATCCTTATAGCAAGCTTTTTCATGGTTCACAAGAATGTTTTAAGACTTGGCTTGGGTCAGAAGGGCTAATTTTGGAAAAAACATTCTTATGTCACTTACATTCCCAAAAACGTTTAACACAAGTCTCCCTCAGGCTCTAGTGGGGCTAGGTAGAGTAACTTTTTTTGTGTATTTTTCTTACATAACATAATTTTATTATTTATTTAGCGGAAAATACATGGGTATATGATCTAATGTGCTTTACATTAAAATGCTTATAATATTACAATGAAATGGATAAAAAAATTACAACTTTTCTGAATAGTTATTAAATGGATACTAGATAAAAATATTATATCTATATATGCATGTAAAAAACTATGTTAAAATACTATAGGTTATAAGCCAAAAGCTAATTTAAAATAATGAGTTTTTAGCCATGCCATAAAAGTTTTAAGACTGCCCAAAGCTCTCAACTCGTGTGGAAGGGCGTTCCACAGGGTAGGCGTGGCTACAAAGAACGCCCTGTTTCCTGTTGTCTCCTTGGTCTTGTTGGGCAGATTAAGCAGTTAGTGTTTTGCATTTGATTGCAGGTTATAATTTGACTGTGGCTTAAGTCTAATTAATTAATTGATGAATATATGTGGGAGCACTACAATGTAAAGCTTTGAATGTGTATACAACCAATTTAAACAATATACGGTATTTAACTGGTAGCCAGTGCAAGTCTTTCATAACAGGAGAAATGTGATCAAAACGCATGGTATTGGAGATAAGCCTTACGCCAGCTTTTTGAACCCGTTGCAACTTGTTAATATAACTGGTTGGTAAGCCATACAGCAGACTGTTACAGTAGTCTAGGCATCCAATTACTAGTGCTAAATTAGTGTTTATGCACTCTTGTACAAAAGGTACTTCCTAATGCATCTAATTTTGTATAGTGGATAAAAAGATAGACTACATGTTTTCCATAATGTGGGGGCTAAAATTCAGCTGCGAGTCAAACCAAACTCCAAGATTTCGCACCTTGTCTACAGAAAGATATTCAAGAGACAGAGATAACACATGAGAGATTGCAGCACCGGCATACAGTTCAGTGGCAGATTAAGGGGAAGGGCCCTGCCCCCCTTATTTTTAGACCAAACTGAGCACCCCCCCTCCCCTCCCTTATCTGAAGGTCTGGATCTGCTACTGCAGCTACATGTCAAGGCAAACAAAAAAGCACTGAAAAACCTTTAGTTGTGGACTTAGGCTATGTTCAAACGATACTGAATAGCATTTTGTGCCAACACAAAAAGTATCCATTCCGTTATAGTATGAACATCTCTCTGATATCGGTGACTCTTCACTTTAAGATCTGCTGACACAGCTTCACTCACTTACAGAAATCACACCAAAATCACCTTTCTTATGTGTGAACAGAATCCCTATCTGGTATGGATTTCGTGTCAATGCAAAAGCTATTCGGTATTGTGCAGTGGTGGGTCCAGGGTCCTGCCCCCCACCCTTATTTTTGGACCAAACTGAGGCTGGAAGGGCCAAAAAAAAAATTTTTTAAGACCCCCCTTCCCCGTCTTATCTCAGGCTCTGGATGACTGCCCCGCCCCCTTATCTGAAGGTCCGGATCCGCCTCTGCAGTGTGCACACAGCCTTACGCCTGAGTAAATACTGTTCCTATAAATATTTATAATTCATAAAGACAATTTTGCACTGCTAAGAAGTAACTAATTAGCAAAACAAGAAAGAGCGATGAAATTTCCTTTCTTGTAGTGGTATATTTATGACTGGATTTGCATTTGTACTTCCGATCAGGCATCTTTGCATTATTTCCCAGTTCCGCTAGCATTATCTGTATAAACCAGCCTTTCTTTATAGTTACGGAAAGCTAGAAGTGCTTTCAATAAAATGGCTATGGTGTAGCAGCTTTCCAATCAGTTGGGGCCATTCCAACCAACCCTCCCGTTCAAAGCAGAAAAATTAAATTACAAATGAATTAAATTTGTTTATGCAAAGCCCCTCAGGAATAGAATTTACTGATAACAATAATTGATAAATCTCTCCATTCACATCAGCATTTATGACGAAATAATTTCTAGAACATTTGCATCATTCTAAATCTTACAGACTTGTTTCAACACTGAAAACTTGAACATTCAAAGTGTTTCAAGAGCAATACAATGTAGCTATCCATTCAAAAATGTTTGATAGCTTTTCGTATGGAAATGAGCTCTTTATAATCAAATGGAAAACAGGATGGTGAATTTGAAGAAAAAAAAATTAACTTCTTTACAAAAAATTATGATTCGCAAAATAATAAGGTTTCAATTTTCATGAATCTTTCTTGTGTGCAAGAGTCTCATTTTCACACAAAAAATTTGAAAATTTGAGCACACATAACCCTAACAGGAAAAGCACTAAAATTTACCAATCACCACCAAACTGTACATTATACTGAAAATGATACAGCTAAACCCCACTTTACAGACACCCACTTAATATAGACACCTTGTTATACTGAACAATTTTCTTTGTCCCTGGGGAAAGTAAACCCTTACATCTTCTCCAAATTCAAGCTGCTTAACCCTTTAAGTCCCAATATCCACATACAAATTCTCCAAACTGATCTCCATACATTTTCTTGAAGAATTAGTTGAGAGAATTTGGTAAAAGATCGAATGCTTTTCTATGAGATCATTTTGTTAATTCTCATAGACTTTGCTCATGATAGTCTATGGATATCGTTAGGAGAAAATTGATTTTGAGCACTATTGGGACTTAAGGGGTTAATAGAGACAACCCATCAATAGAGACACTTTCTATGGCACCCTCAGTGTTTCCGTATTTATGGCCGGTTTGACTGTAACATCAACTTGACTGTCTTTCACACTAATCTAAACTATACATTCTCTAGTGCCACCTGCCACTGGATTTATAAAGTACATTGACCTGTCAGTCTCCCATAAATCTTTCCTGTTATTGGAATAGGCTGCAAAATAAAGCATCAAGTGTATTAAGTTACTCTACTTTGTTTGAACTTCCTCTACAAGCTACTTCTGTTTGGATGAATATTCATGATGGTAATTGTCTATGAACTGAGATGAAAGCAATTTGTTCTGAAATCATATTCATGATTTTAGAATCAGAAAAGTGCACAGCGCAAGTTTTGACACAAAGTTCAAATTCAATTTTATTATAGATATTTAGAAATTGCCCGATTTAATCCAGTAGGCGGTTTGTTTAAAAGTTGAGGCAAAGAAGCATTCACATCTCACTTTTTACGTGACACAGAATGGATGTGATTTAGAAGAGAAGTAATGTGATTTTAAAATGTAATATTAGAAAAGATGTGATCTAGACCAAAAAATAGTGTAGTGTGTGAACAAATCACACTGCACTTAGATCACCAGTGAATTCAAAAAGGATGTAATAAAAAACACATTGACTTTTTCCACTCAACAAAACAGGAACACATTCTAACTTATGATTAACATATGTCAAAACTTCTTGCGTGATAATATTTTTGTTACCAGTGGTTGCTTGTAGCACATTTTATTAATATTGTACATGATGGAATACTTCCATACAAATTTTTTCCACCACATTGCCAACACCCAGAGCTAAAAAAGTCCGTGACATCTTTAAGATAACCTGTAGCAAATTCTACTGTAGTTCAGTTTTATTTTAGTTAAATTTTTCATCGCAGACTCTTTGTTATTGTCTATGGCAATTGATGACTATGTCAGAAAGAACAGAAAATTAACCCAAAATATAACTGAACTACAACAAAATTAATACACTTGCCTGAATTCACAGCATTTAAATAAGAATGTTATATATTAGGAATACAGTAAGATTTAAGGCTAAGATACTTAGCATAAAAATTAAAAAGGAATTGGCTATAAAATCTTCACAATTAGACAGTATCTGACAGTTCGTGTTGTGGTGGATAAAATTTTGAAAAAATATTTTTAATCATTTTAAAATCATTTCTTTATCATGAGATAGAGAATCTTCATTCAAAAACACAACCGATAGAATTAATTTAACCTTCAAATTATCTGTAGTGTTCAAACTAAATCAAATTCATCATCTGTTAATTCCAATCTGGGTGTTTTTCTTTTATATTACATGAAAGCGAAATAGTGGTCTCTGTCTTTATTTTCGAAATCCAGAGCTCTAAGTTTATGCAGCATCCCTTTTTGTCACTAACCAGATCGAAACACTATCATCTCTTCTAGAATGCACGCACAATAAAATTAATGTTAAGCTTATCTCAAATAACTTAGTGAAAATATCTCGATGAGATAAAATTTGACGCTCAAACGAGTACCATACCAACCTATTCGCCTTAAAAATAACTAGAACTGATTTTTAAAAAGAACAAGAAATTTGCAAAGAAGAAAACTTTGTTTACATTTACAATTTCACATTTTACGAGGAATAAATTAGTCAAACAAAAATTATTCAAAAAGTAAAAAGTTTTCAACGGAAGCCGCTTGACTTAAAAAGGTAAATTATACTAAAATTTCTTTGAGTATTATACCGCAAAAGACTGATAAAGATTTAATGAGTGAAATAACATTCTGGGTATTAATAGTACAAGAAAGCTGAAAGGTAGAATGTTTTGAATACATAATAAGGTTACTTAATTATTGCAAATTTCAATATTTGGAAAACTGAAATAAAAGCATTTTCGACGATGAATGCGGCTAAGATGAAAACGGCGGTCGATTAAGAACTTAAAATGGTATTCGTTTTAATAGAAGAAAAGAGAATTCAATATCCCACTGTAAGTGGCGATTGTTTCAAATCATCAAAAAACCCTTATAAGCTTAAATTCAAAATCTCTGAACATGTTTTGAAACCTTCCAATGGAAGATAATAGATGATTGCACCTGGTTTAGTGTAAACATGAACGTCAGCGATTTTTTTTCATTCCGGATCAGTGACTTTTACTCTTTTGGAAGACTAAGGCGTTTACAGTCTCGTTTACGTTAAAATAAATATCACAGCAACAAGCAATATACGCCTCACGTATTTTGAAAAGGATATATGCAACCACACGAGAGGCCTGAGTTGCACACCTGACAGGAGATAAAGGTCACATTCAGTGAAAAGCACAGTCACATAATAACAATTCTCCGTTAGCACTTGCTCATTCTACAAGCTTCCTTCTTCCATAAGTTTGTTCAGATTATCTACGATGTTCTTGAGAATAACCCCGAAAGGCCCATCGCGATTAGCTTGAAACACTCTTTCTAGCATGTCACCATCCGCGTAATAATTGAACACATGATCGACCCGTCCGTGCGATTTCGGTGTGAGATGCCGTTCGATTATTTGATGCAACTGGCTTCGACAGTCCTCCAAGTTCTTAGTCAAAAATTTCTTATCGAAGGAGAAATCCACCTCGTAAAAACTAATTAAAGTCATGGCTGCTGAACGGAAGTTTTTTCTGAATTTTTCCGCAACTTGAATTTCGTCGCGGTTCAACTGGTCGTTTCTGAACAAAATGCTGATCTTCACCACAATTTTCACAAGGTCCTTGACGAGTTTCTCTGCTTCTTTCTTGTTCCCGGACTCAACCTTCGCTAATCTATACATCTGATCGAGCAGATCGCCAGTTGTGTCATCTACAAACGCTTTTGCCACATTTTTCGAAGCCATCTTGCCCAGAATTTTCTTCTGGGCTCGCAGCGCGACACTTTTGGAGTTAAATCCACTACCTGGCTCGGCAGCTTCGGCCATTTTTGTCCCTGGATAATAAAGAGGTGTAAGCATAAAGGATTAATTTCCCAACTTACATACAATAGAGTCGCAGAAATTTACAACAAACAAATAAAATGGGTTTGCAGGCGCGTAACTCGGCAAGCTCAAAACACTCGAACGAAACCGAAATTACCTGAGCTAGTATGGTATCGTGAATCTTACGTTTCCACGCGACCAAAATCACAGGTTTTGGATATTCATTTTCCAAAGACTGACTGAACTTCACGCATACAGCAACGCAACAATGCGACGCAAACTGTACCAGAGAGAAATTATAAAAGCGGTAAAATTTGCTAAAGCTTCAAGTGATTGACATATAGGGGCACGTGATGTAGATTGCAAGCTAACATGAATATCACAGCAAATTGTTCGTTGCCTCCCTTGGGAATTATTAATAAATACTTTAGCTGCACCAGACAGCTCCAGTGGATACAGATCTATGTTTAATGCTAAGCACTAAATACTTGCCACTTTTTCAAAACAAAGGCTATTTGGGCCGATTCCTGTCACCTGATAAGGAAGCCGTCTGGGTTTTGCTTTCGTACGGTTTGTTTACATTCGTTTATTGTTTTACTGCCTCAAACAACACACATTTCTGTATTTTGTGTCATTTACTGAGCAGTCAATGAAAAGAAAACCCTTAGTTTACATTAAAGGACAGTTCGTAGGCTTTCTAATAAATTCATTTACATTTACATTTCTATTTTTCCAGCGTCTGATATGTCAAAATTATTTATGATCACGAAACACAAACATTCGAAAACACGCTTTCACTTTATTTGTAATTAATAAGTTCACATATATATCAATAATAACAAACTGAATTTTTAGTATCGCATGTAGACAGCTACTGAGCGACGGCTCGTTGAAATGACCAACTGATTTATTTATTTTGAGCATGCCAATTCCAATTGCGTGGGAGGGGAGGATCGAGGAGGACCTTTAAAAATTTCTATCACGCCCCGTGCAAAGTACTTTATCGAGATTCTGATAAGGCGTAGAATTTGCCAATTTCCGGACACGTTAAATAAATGCCTCCTGGGGTTAAATAACACGTCAAGAATCTAGTCACGACAAAATTACTTTTTGACTTGTGAAGACATTTATCCAATATGACCATCGAGGAATTTAAGAAAAGGATTTTTTTAAAAAAGATTTACTTATGATTGAGGTTTGTAGATAAAAGGTTAAGTGTCGGTATCAGGCAGGAAACTCATGAGTTTCTGTATCAGGCAAATCTCAGCACTTTCTGTGTGCTCAGAGTTTCGATCGTGAATTTTACGTTTGATTCAAAAGGTAACACAACCTACATGCCTGTTTTCGCGCAAAACGGGTCTAACCTTGTTTGCGCTCTAGTCGACACTCGTTCAAGGTAGGCCCTTGCAAGTAAGGGATTTTTTTGGCTACTGCTTCTACTTGTTCACGCTTTATACATCATGAGTGGGTTTTTCTTTGTTTTGTTTTCTAAGGGAAAAAGAAAAGAAAAGCGAATGGGAAAAGAAAAAGAAGAGATAAGATTCATGCGTTGATAACTTACTACACGAAATGAGGGCTCTCAGTTCTGACGTCTGAATTAAAACTGCAGTAAATATATATATATATATATATATNTGCGGGTTAACTGAAAAGGCAGTAAAAGTCAGGGCAGGTTCTGTGATCTCTAGTGAGACTCTTTGCCTGGGACCATGCCTATGAGTCCTAATGAAGACGGAACAGCTGTCCATACCCGGGGGGCGGGCACTCCCTTATATCATGGTTTTCGTGCCGTTTCGGTCTGAAAACGGGTGTAGATTTTGCTCATTTTGGTCTGGAATCGGGTATGCTTTTCGAGGAAACTACGGAAGTGTATGAACGTATTTGTCGTTTCAATTCCAAATGAATCAGAAGGAAAGAGTAATATGCGAATTCCAAATGGATTGCTGAGTTACATTTCTCCTAGCGCAAATTAAAGGTTAAGGTCAGGTAAGAGTGTCCCTCAGATATTATTATTATCATTATTTGCAGGAGCCGAAGTAATCGTCTCCTGTTATTTGCTCTCGGCCTGTCGCTCGGAAAAAACCTTGGAATGCATATTAATCTTTTGGACATGCAAAAACGTGCAGAACTAAACTCGCTTTGAGGCTGAGAAACGGTTCTTGACCTTGAAGCCTCGAAATAATGTGACCATTGTTAAACGGTAATGAAAATTTAGTCGTGCTAATGCTAACGAGATTTCAGATAAGAAAAGGACAAATTGACAATTTTTTTTTTCTGATCGGACTGAAAATATGTTGTTGTATAAATGCTGTTTTCGTTAGGTGCCGGACACCATCCTGTTAACATTTGGACCCACCCCACCCCCTTTTTTCTTTCTTCCCCGTAGCTACCGGCTATAACATCTTGAATCTATTAATCTACTGTTCTCGAAACGCTGGCTAGCAGTGCAATCAGCACGATTAAAAAATAGACTGTATACGGAAGACCATCTTATATTTTGCAGGAAGCGAAAATGGCCGGCTTAGTGAGATCTTCCATGTGTCCGCTCCTTTCCAACAGTCGCTGTTCGCATATCTACCGATGGGAACAAGGCAGTGGACAAGTTTTATGTCATCTTGTTTTTATAATAGCATATTGATGAAGTTATTTAATACCAAACTAGTTCTGGATGGAAGCATGAATTGTAATGTATGACCTAGCTACAAGTGAGAAACTCTAAATGTCTGAAAAGTTCTGTGTGGAAGGCTTTTGGGATGAGGAATTAAGATGTTTTCGAAAAGAATTATTTAATCAAGTAGGCTCCTCTTTGTTTAAAAGGGTTAAATGGTTTTATCCTTGGTCTGGCCGAAAAGCGGATTGATCCAGACCGATTTAGTCCCGAAAAAGGATACTAACTTGATGATTCTAGTGAGGTAAAGGTTGCCGAAAAATGTCATTTCAGAAAACTGTTATCTGTTTTCTATAAGCCAAAATTGTTCTCAAGATAAGGAATTTCGCACTTTCACAACTGAAACCTTGTCGCCTTCCGTGAAATCATTTCCTCCTTAGTTCCTAATGAGATAATCGTTCATAATCCATTTTGTAATGCGCTAACCGGCCTCTTCTAATTTGCTGTATGATGACAGTAATCGTCAGGGGACGCTCAAGTGACTTACCGTATTTATGCGAATAAACGCCCAACCTCGCATTAACGCCCACCTCGAATAAGCGCCCATCCTAAAGGCAAAAAAAGTTAATAAGCGCCCACCCCACCCCACCCATGTTGGTTACAATGAGATTGAAATTAAATAAGTACTAATATAAAGAGACTTCCAGGAAGACAAAGTTTTCTTCAGAGTAGGGGTAGTTTACAAAAACCTTGCTTTGTTACATCTTCACGTTTCGTTATGACCATTTATTGTTTTGTTGCAAAATAAACATACTACACTTGCTGAAAACGGTGAAAATTTAATAAGCGCCCACTCTCAAGGTCCAAAAATTTAATGAGCGCCCAGGGCGGTTAATTGAATAAATACGGTAGTAATCTTTTCTAAACCAGCTCTCCGCTGTCTGGTTATAATTGAGAAAAGGGCATTGTGATTGGAAGAGCGCAGACCCGTGCTCATTCCCTACCTCTTTTCGCGACTAAAGCATGGGGAAAGTTCCAAGGGCCGCTGGAGAAGAATGAAAGAGTTCTTAAGTCGGCCAAACGTCCGTTGGTCCAGTGCGTTCTTGCCAGATTTCTGCTTAGGTTATGAACGACCGGGAATACCATGAAATTAGTCTAGTGTGTCTCAGGCATGTGGAAAGAATAATAATAATAATAATAATAATAATAATAATAATAATAATAATAATAATAATAATAGTAATAATAGTAATAATAATGATGATGATGATGATGATGATGATGATAGTCATGATGATGATAATAGTAATAATAATCATCATTATATTATCATCGTTATCATCATAGTTATAATCATAATCATTAGAGGAGTTAAAACTGAAATAGAGTAACCAGTAGTAAAAGTTGAATATAAACATTTAAAATAGATAATGAAAGATAAACGATAGCAATTTTTAAATCACTATTGGAACACTTTAAAAGCGTAACTAGCGTTAAAATTCCTCCTTTACAACACCATCAGGAAATTACAAAATTACAATAGGACCCAATTTTCTTCGTACACGTAGAAAGAAGAAATGATTAAACGTCAACACAGAAATGTCTGAAATCATCAAACATTCTAAGGTGATTAGGGAGGCTATTTTTCAAAACAAAAATATTTGAAGCAGAGTCCAGAAAGTACATTTTTCGAGCGGGATTGAAGGCCTAATAGCAGAACCAGTCCCAGGTTACACGGCTCTTGCTAAGGGGCCTGGGAACGCAATGTACGCCATCTAGTTGCTTGATTATTAGTTCTTTGTGTAGAGCCGCCTATGNTACACGTAGAAAGAAGAAATGATTAAACGTCAACACAGAAATGTCTGAAATCATCAAACATTCTAAGGTGATTAGGGAGGCTATTTTTCAAAACAAAAATATTTGAAGCAGAGTCCAGAAAGTACATTTTTTGAGCGGGATTGAAGGCCTAATAGCAGAACCAGTCCCAGGTTACACGGCTCTTGCTAAGGGGCCTGGGAACGCAATGTACGCCATCTAGTTGCTTGATTATTAGTTCTTTGTGTAGAGCCGCCTATGGACTCATCTAAGTTAATGTCCCTCCTTTCCTGATCATGGGTAACCATCCAAGTTTTAGAATGTCTTTTTTTCCGGACGAATCGTCCCGTGATAAAAGTGGCTGCTGTTGTTGATCGTCACAGGAAAAATCATCAAAAATTATGCCAGAGGTCAGAACATGTCTTTACGCAGACGTTGGGGTATAACCGCGTAGCTTAAAGGCAAATTAACAACATGAGGAAAAATACATAGAAGCCAATAGCTTCTGAACGCGTGACTGACCATAACGTAGTATGTTCAGTAATCACGTGGGAGAGAGAACGAATCGGAACCGACAACA